CTCTGTAATTCAAGATGATGTAAACAATGTAAATTGTTTTTAGGAGAAGAGGATCTTCCAGATTCCTTGGATGCACGCTGCCCGTCATGGCTGGGACCTGGAGAAAGATGCTCCGCTCTTCATGAGATGGGCCATACACACGGGTATTGCACAGATTTAACTGCAGCCTCTGCTGCTGCTTCTCCTTTTTAGCGGTTCTCATTTTTATGCCTGCTACACACTGAAACACTTCTGTGACTAAGTTCAGAGAGTTTTGATTTATAAAATACCTCATTTTGATATCACTGGGAGTAGTGTTCCTCTTCGTTACTAACCCCAGTCAGTAACATTCAAAAAGGATCCAAGTTGAGCTTGGATTTAGCTGAGATTTAAACATAGAACAGTAACATCAGGAAATTCTTGTTTGTTTACCGTCCCTAAAATAATGAGATCCTTTTGCATTTGTTTGACTTCATATTTTTCACCTGATGTAAACACCACGTGTGCTGGCTCTGTGCTGAACAGGTTGAGTACCTGCTCTCCGGTAACTTTGTTAGGAAGCACACAGTGTCTGTGTTAGGGTAATTCCCACTGCTTTGCTACAGCAGTAAATGAGAAAACATAATCTGTGTAATCTTTGCTAGAAGGAAGTTTGAAGACTGTCAGATGATGCCTCCCAATCGCTTTTTACATTTCAGTTTGGTTGGTATGTGAGAACATATGATGTAAAATGTCCAACCTTTGCTCCTTGGTGGTAAAGAACCCCTCTAAAAATTCCCAGATCCAGATCAAACGTTAATCACTGCTAAGCTGTGTAAACCCTCACCTTGGAGTAATCCTGCTAACAAACAAAGCAAACCAGTCACATGACCTCCTTGGTGGATAATATTAGGGAAATTGTTACGTTGTTTAAATATTTCAGGTTAATTTTTCCACAGAGAGAAATGCTACCTTATTACAGATTGAGCTAAAAGAAGCTGCAGTCTTGTTGGTGGTGCCTTTACTTGATTGCAATACTTAGTTTGACCAATAAATGGTCTAATTGTATCATATTAAATGAGTTTATGTAATAAGACAAAGAAATATATTTTCCTTTTTTTTCACTTTGATCTGACTTGAAGTGAACATGTCACATAATACAAGCTGCTGTAAAATTAAACAGCAAAAACTAACCAAGTAGAGTCTTTGTAGCTAATATTATAGCGTCAACAAGAGTCAGTATGCATACTGGTAGCACTGGTTAGCTCAGAAATGATCGCCTCCATAGTGATGAAGCTGTCCTCTGAATCCACCACAAAAAGACAAATTAGTGATTTTTTTCCTTCTTCTTGCGTCTGAATCAGGTAAATACCAGCCAGGTGTAGACCGTCCTGATCCAAAGACATGGAAGGCTAATTTTCGCTGTGCCATGAACAGCCTGCCAGACATCGAGGAGGTAAAGGACAAAAGCATCAAAAAGGGAACCAATGCCTTCAGAGTTTATAAGATGCTCTCCTCCTCAGAGAGAAATGCCAAGAAAGGTGAGCGCTGCTGCTGTCGTCATAAATTCTTTCAGTTTTATCATTCTGCCTTGAAACTCAATTGTTTCCTCATTTTTGTTGTTTGAGGTTACTGGAAACTCAGTTGAATGTTTTTTTCTTTTTTTTTCCAGGAAAGAAGAAGGCAGACAAGGAGAGGAAGTCCAAAGGAAATAAAGAGGTAGATAAACGTACGGGATGAAGATCACACCACTGCTACAGTAGGATGTAGAGGAATGAAAGAGCAAAGATAGAGATCCTGGAGCAGTGCTGGCGACCAGCAGCATGTTAGAACAATCATGTTTCTTCAGGATTCACTTAGTTATTTCAAACTTTAACATGCAGCTGATAAGCAGCTTTTCCTCCTGGCTGGTTTAGTAACACGTTTGGCACGACAGAAATGGTTTACTAAGAAGTGTTGCGAGCGCTTTTTCCTGCCAAGGCAAAGAAAACACTTCTGGAAATGACACGCAGCCTTTGAGCTGGCGACCTGCCATTTTATCTTACTTTGAACAATCAACTGTTGCTCAGTTCCACACATGACAGAGAAATTTACCAGGAAAAAAGGTGTGGTACCACACACTCCACTGGAATTCTGTTCTGCCTGTCAGAAGTTCGACCGGTAACTGCTGCTTGTATCGCACTGATGAACAGGAGGGAGAAAAACATTTTTAAGAAAATCTGTTCAGGCATTTTTATCCTCACTTTCTGAAAGAACGAGCTTAGAAATAGGAGTCAAAAAAATCAGAAATAGCAGAACATCACAGGGTCAAGCTGTTTGCTTTGGAACAGGAAATTGGAATAAGAAAAAAAAGGAAGCCGTGCACTTGTTTAAAGTGGTGGGGTTGGTTAGCTCAGTATATTTTGGCAAAATGTGTTTTTATGGCAGAATTGATGCAGATATCAGGCTGTATCTGAGTATGCTCTCTGTCAGGGCAGCTCGTTTCTAACAAAGCTGTTTATAAATCCCTTCATTTTTTTAAAGTACACATATCATCTCTTTGCTGGCTCAAGGCAGTTAGAGTTTATTAAAGTTATTATATTCCTGGTACAACGTTTGGGATTTCTGATGTGTATGAATAGATGTGATGTAGATATCTCCTTTATAGACTCAAACTCTGCAGACAGTGTTTAAAACACTGAACTGTACTCAGCGTTGTGTTGATGGTCTTTTTTCCCACCACAAATTATGTGCGTACAGGGTGCAAATTAGCCAAGAAGACACAAACTACCCTGTCCTGCACTGCATACTGGACTATCAGTATACTGACAATAAAGCCAACATATGCATGACAGAGCAGCCAGTACCACATACTCAGTGTGATGCAAGTTTGTATTTTGGATCAAGTTAGCTGATCAGATAAGCTTTTCCATTCAATGTAATTTTGCCAATGGCAGTGCTGGGAAACCAAATGCTGCAACATGATGACATGATATGATTTTCTTGACTAGTTTCAGTAGATACAACTGGCTTTCTTCTGGCTGACATTAGTATAACCACTGATGTGGACAAATTGTTTGTTAACTGTTGTGTGGAGCTTGTCTGTTTAACTGTGACTCCATTTCTAATCTCACTGTTAATGCTGGGAGCAGAGGCAAGGCACTCTGGGACTGTAGTGGAAAACCCATCCAGCATCTTTCAAACAGCAGTCAGTGTAAGATAGCTGAAAGTCAGGGAAAGGCTTATTTTCTGTTTAGACACGAGCAAAAAACCATTTAATGCTTAAAAATGTGCCTACTGTAGCATTAACTTTATATATAGTTTTTTTTTAATCAGTTGTATTTCTTGGCTTATTGTTTTTTCTTCTTTCTCTGCTGTATGGTCAGGTGTTTGGCGTGTTGTCTTACTGCTTATTTTGATTACTGGCGTCAGCCTTGTTATGGAAATAAAGTGTCTTTAGACTTTGATCGTCCATCATTTAAAAATCATTTTTCCTTCTTGAAACCAGAAGGTCACCTCTCCATCTCCAGACAACAGTCTTCTTGAAGCTGATGCCGGACCTGTTGACTACACCAAACATGAAACAATCAAGATGGAGTCAGTGGAGCTGACAGTGACAGACAGTGTGTCAGGTATCACACCACCATCTTTCTTTTTTTCAATTACCTTTATCCCATTTTTGTGTGTATGTGCTACCTGTTTGCTTTTGGCCTGTGCTTACAATGACTAAGCAGATGAGTCAGGTTTGTAACACAGTGGCAGGCCTGAGGGTGTTGCATCAGAAGGAGAAATACAAGAAGCGTGAACATGCACATTATGCAATAACGAAACCCTCCCTTTCTCCACTCAGTATCATTTAACTTTTTAAAGTTTGACTGTCGTCACACCAACTACAACTTTTCACTAAGACAAGTGCTTGGAGAGGAGACATAGGTGTACTTTACTCACATATAAGGTCGTTACAGATACAAAGGATTATGAACCCACACATCCTGACTCTTCTCTGTCCATCCTCAGTGATCCACAGTCAAGCTGAAGACCATGTGATCACCAGTGAGCAGCTGCCATTTGTCTGTCAAACAATCGAGGTGACCACTGAGAATGAGGAGCAGACTGTTAGCTCCTCCCACCCGTACCCGCTGCAGATCTCTCCTGTGTCTATGTGCGGCGGTAAGACAACACAACTGCACCTCGCCACATTTTGTTACAAGGAGAAACATAAATAGGTTAGTTAGAGTGGAGCAGGCTCGTAGGAGTGCCCGCTGTGTAGTTATTCAGAGGAGCTTTGACCACATAGTAACCCTTTTTAGAGTAGCGCTACGAATGCAGACACAGAGCACGCTTTGTAGAGTGAAGAGCGGTGGCATTATCTTGGTGTCAAGATCAGATCAGTTGTTTTTTTTTTCTCTCTTTAAATGACACTTGCTCTGTGCCTCCATCAACTTGTGAAATATCGAAACTGTGACCTGATGACCTGCTGATACCAGTCAGAGCACTGTCTTAGGTTTCAACATCCACCAGCATCTTTCCTACGCCCTGCCTGTAGAGAACTAACAAGGCAAAGCTGCTCATTCAGCTGTAGAGAGGAGGAAAACCTGCTCCTGTTAAACAGATCTCTAACTGTGATTATTATGTGTGAGGCTGTGTGGTTATTGGTACTGGCCTCACTGATTTGCCATTACTCATTTCATCAGCACCCTCTTTTCTGCGTATGTGTAGCTATCGTTTTTTCTTCCCCCAGTCAGTCGTTCAGGCAGAGCTGCCTCTTTCAGTTTGTAGTGGACTATCAGAGTCTTCATCTTCCTTTTTCTGCTTCTTATTTCTTTCTCGTGTTTCTTAAATTGCACCATTACTTTATGAGTCAGGGTGCAAATGGACGTCATTCATGTATCCCTTGTTTTCTTGAGAACAGTACTGGCGGATGCCGGCGTAGTCAGTTTGGTTTTCTGCTGTAAATCATGGTTTTAACTGAACGTAATTTTTCTGCATGTTTTTCCCTTTGATGTGTGTGACCTAAGAGGGAGTAATAGTTCTGTGCATGTCTCTTTTTGAACAGGCAGCGACACAGAAAGTGATACAGAAAACATCAAAGAGGTTAGTATCTGATTATACGTACAGGGGAGAGAGTAATAACTGAATCATTAACCGGTCTGATTTTCAGATAAACAGGTTTTTACCTGTTTCAACCGTACGGCTTGAACAAGGCGTGTGATTGTGTGTGTGTGCACGTGTGGCTACTTCTCTGAGCACCGCTTTGAGTTTAAAGCTCCAGGTGAAGTTTGCCTACCAGACCACAATAGTCCTGTTATATGTGTGTGTGCGTGTGCGTG